AACGTAATTAGAAGCGTTATTGTTGATAAATATATGAAAATGGAAGAATTGCAGGTAATTTAGAATAGTTCTACATAGACAAATCATAGAAGAAAATTATAAATATTTCAATTATATGTGCTATGTATGTAGGAATTGTTAAGTTTAGTGAGAGAAGAGCTAATGAGCCAGCGAAAATCCGAACCTGATCGCTACGATCCTACCCAACCGCCGTACGAAGCATATAAAATAGATTTTGACTTATTTAGAATATTATTTGGTGGTTTGTCTCCATGGGGAAAATGCACTCAAGCTGAATCTCTTTCTGCGCGACTATTTCGTGTAAGTTTAGTCTCTGTAAATAAATTAATTTTGGTTTGATTAACATACATTATAAAATTTTGCATAGTAAAGCTAAATTAAAAAAAAAAATCATGTTATATTTTGCAAAAATTGATTATAAACGAAAATAACATTAATTATATAATTATTTTAATTAAAAAATGTTTCTTTAGTTAATGGACCGTAATCGTGACGGTTTGTTAAACTTCCGGGAACTGGTGCAGGCCATAGGAATGACAGCAACAGCTGATTTGACGCAAAGATTAAAGTTATTATATACGTTGCATTTACCGCCACTTCTTACGCCTGCCGACTTTGAATCTCCAACACATTCAGCAGGTAGATATTCAGCTATATATGAAAGTCATATTTATGTTATTTTATATTACATCACGATATAAATTGGTTAGATGGAGCCGAAGTGGCGGCAGAAGCTACGGATTTCTTTGACAGCATGGAGCAAAGCATAGCTTCCTTGGAAATGCCGATTAGCATAGCTGAAGAGCCAACTGTAGGCACTTTATCACGATCTACAAGCTTGAATAGCCAGCCAGGTGATCAATCATGGGAAATTCAGAGTATGGGTAGTTTACGTTCGATGATAGCATCAAAAGATAGTCCATTGGATCTTAAAACTGTGCCAAAAATGTCTCAAGGACATTTTATAGCATTATGGAAAACTCTTTACGACATGTTTCCTGCTCAACCCGAAGAACAGGAAACATATCATTGCATCGCTTCTATAGGTAACATCTACATTGCTGTATTTAAAAATTTTATATTGTAATAATCTTTAATTATAATGAAATAAAATAATACCTAAATCATAGGTACGCTTCTACTCCAATTAGGAGATGTTGGCAAGAAATTCTATATAGAAAAAGAAGAATCTGAAGATAGTTTACTTCTAGCTGCTTCTGCAGCTCAACAAGCTTCTTCAGTCGTCGAAAGGGTATATATTTGTACTGACAATCGATGTTCTTTATTATAGCAGTAAATTGATAAATTTTATATGTCCTTCTTAGTCACCCGATCGTAATGGAAATCCATCGAGCATAACGTCCTCCGCTGATCCCGATTGGTCGATTACCATCGAGCAGTTTTTGGCATCTGCTTTAACCGGTCAAGCAATAGTTGACTTCTTCAGTAAACGAACCGATCTTATGGAAGCTATGACAACATTGAAAAATCGTAGATTCAATCGTGTTCATTCTTTATCAGACACACCCACTTTAAATGGATGACACACGGTGATTAATATATAAGAGATAAAAATATTATTATATATCTATTTTTATGCATGGCTGGCTTAGATAAATTGACGAAGGAGAAAATCGAGAATTGCTTAAAAAGAATTTTTATATATTATTATTATTATTATTATTGGAAAATACGAATTTTTAACTTTAAAAGAAACGCAATTGCATGAATGGCAATACGTGCAATATGATAGTTATAAACAGTACATGTTCATTTATTACAATACTGATAAGTCGCGTCAAGATTTTTATAATTATTTTCTAAATTTTTGCTATAAATATTCTTTGGGACTGAAATATATACTGCATTGGTTGGTTTTAGTAGATTACAACAATTTTTTTACAAGGTAGATACACTTCTAGTGGTATTTCAATCCATTATATTAAAAAATATATAAATACAATTATTTTTTAAATGTAATTTATTATGATATTAACAATAATATAATTGTATCATTAGTTTTTGAGAATTTCTTAACGACATGGCATATGTTTAATATGTTGGCCTACCTTATCAATTGTTGCAAATGTATAATAGTGTGCCAATAGTAAATACTCAAGATAAAAATCTGAAACCGATTCCATTGCTTTAAAATTATTCATGTATAAATAATGAATTTTCAAATATTTAATATTTAATTGACACAACGCAGGAGTATTTCTAAAGAAGAGCAACTAATAAAATGATCCTATCCAGATTCGGTTGGAAATCTCAATTGTTTCTTGCAGATATACATGACACCCACCATGCAGATATATCAAACAGTTGCAAGAAATGCAATATATATATAGTAACAAATCTCGGCTACATGTCGAAAGTTATTTACGTATAGACTCGTTATTTTTCACTTTTACTTTATATTAAGCATTATTATTGTATATACAAATGTTACATATTCCTTGAGTATTATTTTCTGAAATATTATAAAAGGGAAATCAAAATATTGAATATGGGGGGAATTGAAAATCTTATACCTTCAGAAATTCATAAACAGAAGTGAAATCTCTAAAGTCAAAATTAATTTTTAGTTGATGTTATATTATAGTATCTTTATATTCATATCGATGGCATTTTCTAGTAAAATTTAATTTGTAACTATATATGAAATATTCTAACCAAATATGCCATATTATCTTAAACAAACAGAAGTAATAATTGACAAAATATTTTTTTGTAATTTATTTGACCGTAATACCAATTCAGAATGTGCAATTTTTTAAAGCAAATATATAGAAGTATACATACAAAAAATATATCGAATTACACATAAAAAAATATTTATAAATGATATACGTAAATGATGCGAAAGCTAATCTGTATATTCAAACGAGATGATGCAATTTTGATATGCAGTATTATTTGATAACTTTGATCATTACTTTCCAATAATACAAATTTTTTATTAGCTGGTTCATTCATAAAAAGTTTCAGAGTATTAAAGAATTTGATTTTCCAGTATATATATATATATATATATATAAGTTATAGGGATAACTCATTGTGAGAAAAAGAAAGAGAAACAGATTAATTTAAAAAAAAATAGTTTTTTTAAGAATATATATATATATATATTCACAGTTTCAAAGTCCCACAATCATGATACGAAATAAGTTAATGTAAAAAGCTTTAGACGATAACAATAACAGCATAGTACACGACATTGCCTAAAAGTACCAATTCATTTGTTTTCTTGAAAAAATCTACTATTCGTAACCGACAGTAAAACGCTAGATAACTTTTTCCTAGTCTAGATAAGGATGGTTTTTAATGTAAGAGATATAGAGTTTTTTTTCTTTTTGACAAAAAATTTATTTAGAATAGCCCAATTGTACATGGCACAAAATGATTATATACACACTTTAATGATAGTTTTTATTTTTATATAATTGAAGAGTATTCACACGAACATAATTTTACGAGCGCAATTCGCAGAGTGGTACTATGGCATCTATATATGGAGAGACTCTTAATTGTATCAATGTATTATACGTGTATATAAAGATATTTCATACCTGTAATTGTATGTATAAAATACATAATAAATGTCATATATAATATTATACTCACAAGCAATAATTTATTTCTTTTTAAATGCTATAAATGATGATTAAAGTTATTTATATATTTTTTAATTAACATTCTGGTTTTTAAAGAGTTTAATAAAAATTTTACTTGAATAATTATTCATAAGAAATATCTATTACTTTAAAGAATGGGATAAATATGCAATTAGTGTTTCAAAAACTTACATACATTATTAAGTAATGATTACATGATTAATTGTATAAAATTTATATTGATTATTATACATTTTCTTACTAGCCTATCTATTTTTTATAAGACAATCTTATGCATATTTCTTATATTCATTTTAATAATGATGCAACAAATTTTTTCAGAAAATTAAATTATTAATATATAATTAATATTTAATTAATATTTAATTACCCATTCTTCATGCTACCCCAAAAATTGTTAAAACCAATTTGAACGAAGTTTACATTGGATTCAACTATATTTAGTTGGATTGAAAAACTGCATTTCTTATTCAGAATTTTAAATTTAGCAGTATTCACAATGCAAGAAAAAGATATTATTTTTAAATTGAATGGTATAGAAATGTGCTTCATGCAATCCCTATGAACGAATAAAAATGCATTCGGATTAATAATTACCAAAGATTTTTAGACTAATATTGATTAAATATTTTTTATTTCTCTCTGATCACTAGTATTAGGATATTAAATATATATAATATAATACCTTATAACATTTAACATTTTCGATATTAGGACATGTAATAAATCTATAGTATAAGTTGTGTACTATTGTATAACGCAAATCCACGTGCGCTACATATATTTATTAATAAAGGCAACACATTTTTAAAATATCGTTATTTATTAATCAATTTATTTAATTTTAACTTATTAATTCAATTTATATAATCAAAATAAGATATTTTCTGTGATAAATGGTTTATTTATTTTTTCCTCTGTCGCGCGACAAGATGATTAACATTAAAATTACGCAAATTAACAATGGAGAATCAATCTTCTCGAATTTAAAGGTGAAGAAAGCAGTTTTTAATTAATTCATGTCTATTAATACATATGTAGTGAAGTTTTTTTCTATTATAAGGATATATGTATATATACCTATATAATTTCAGTAACATATTTATCTTTAAAAAGATAAAAATAAATTAAAATAACTAACTTAAACATTTGTTAAACAATAATTATACCCAATCGAAAGAAAATTCATATTAATTTTATCCCTTTAATTAAATTTTTCTATTTTTGATGTATAATTATGCTGACAGGAATATATCTTCCAAATTATTGTCTATATAAGTAAATTAATGTAATACTATATGTATAAATGGAATTATGGCAAGTTAAAAAAATAAATCTGTTTTATGTTTTTTAATTTATTGAAAATAAATTTGTCATATAACTTAGATTAAAAGTTTTTAGATAATAATCCATCGTTCTTCGTCAATCTTACGATGCAATCATCGGATTCTCCCTATAAACACAAAATTAGGACAAGACTTCATGAGGCTAATACAAATTTATATCACAATATTGACAATTAAAATTTATTGTAGAAATATTATGTCAATTAAATAGTATAATTTTATATTTGAAATGTTTTAAGAAATTAATTATATAAATCGGTATATACACATATGAGTAATTTAATTAAACCTACCATTCGACGAATTGCTCCACAGATTGCATACATCTTGTGAGTATCGGTCATGCGACCTGTTTCTGGATCAACATCGGCCAGAGTCAGCTGTATAGATGCATGATCTTTGGCGTGGATGATGCGATTACTCGCCGAACTACAACAGAAAAAAAAATTTAAATCTATTCTTTCCAGAAAAATAGGTACATCTTGTAAATCTTTCTACAATTCTTCTGTCTATAAATACATATATTTTGCTTCAAATGTGAGATTACAAGAATCAGACAGCTGAAAGAAGTTGATCCATGACTGAAATAGATTTATAAGACCTGGACCTCTTGAAAAGAAACATGTATGAAAAACTAAGGAATTTAACATATCTATCCACAAGTTAATCAGAAAATAAAAAATTAAAAAATTGGGTCTTTAAATATAACAAGTGTACACAGTTCAGCCACAAAGAATAGACCCATAGATTTGTATGGAGTCACCTAACCTCACTTGCAAATCGCTGCTTATTTATCGCCCGCGCTACGGTCAATCTTACCGAATAAAAAAAATCTGCGTAGCGAATTTGATTGAGCATCTAGACACAAGATTTTCGCTCGCATTCGGTGTAAAGTTTACGAGAATTATCTGTAACCCACGTGTGTTTGCGTCTTACCATTTTCGAGGGATGTACAAGTCGACCAGGTTGCCCAAATCGTTCTCCATTTTTCTTTACCGCTGCAACAACAACGTAAAACGGGAGATTAGCGCTATTTGGACAAGCAGAATGCGGTAGCGTTAATTCTATAGTAAATACTTGTCATACAATCTATACGTCGATCGCTCGAAAAGGCTGCGAAATGAAAGAATGAAAGATGGAGGCCTGGATTGAAATTATTGGATATGGAACGATGGAACATGGAACTCTGCGGCTGTGTGTTCCTTGTTAGGACTGCGTTCGGAAACATCACCCGAGTGCCCCCGTGTGTTGTTTTATCCTTGTTGTTTACCCAATGTTAAATAAAGATAAGGTGATACATAACTAACTGTACTAGTTGCACTTTCTGTATTTGAAAAAGACTAGTAATAAATATTTATTTGAAAAATATATTATCAATGCACAGACGCGCAATGATAACACATTTTTCGAATAAATATTTATTACTATACAGTTTTATTAATTTTATGATATAAAATTTTTATTTCACTGTGAAATTAATTTATATATATCGTAATTACATTCGGGGAGAAGAAAGAATGGATTGACTTTAATATTAAATATATTACCCATCTTACAATATTTCTAAAATTATTAAATCAATTATCTCGCGTTCTGTTATTTGAATCTGTAATCAAATTTGAAATTCAAGTTGATACTTATATGTAATATATGTATATTATAGATCTATCATGTTGCTGGCACTTTTTGCACTCAAAATCTCCTTTCTTTTTTCAATGCTCAAATATCTATTTAATCTCGTTTCAAGTAGAAAACTTTTTGAGAATTTCCAAAGCAAACAAATCTGTTATTCGCTATTTTGCCGATTTCGCCTAAAACATTTCGATACCGCGCATGCGCGAGGTGAGACGACGGACGAAATCTTGGAGATTGTGTCCATGCACTTCCCGTTCTGTCGCAGTCCCCCACCTTCACCCCCCTCCCCTTTCTTCATCCGATGCTCTCGCGGCGATCCGTCGACGCCGTCACACCGCGCGCCCCGTCTATTCGCAATTGTTCGCGACTACGTGCTATATGTTCGTGCGCGATTCGTCGACCGACGACGCGACGACTCGACGATGACGACGCTCACTGGCCGTCGCGCGCGTACGTACGGGCGGAACACCCTGGCGAGAGCGGTGCTTCAAAACGAGCCGCGTTTAGTGACTCGCGTTCAGTAGCGAAGCGCGCTTCGCGCTGGACGGATCAACGGTAATTGTGTGTTGCGCGAACGCTCGACAGCGACGGGACGTGCGATGCGCTTCGGCAGGACTGAACGAATAATTGATCGGGATACGCACGGCAGAGGTTCAACATGTCCATGAAGGTGAGTGCGCGGAGAAGCGCCGAGATTCAATGTATGGATGTATCCTCCCCCGCGAGAAACGTTCCTTCCCCAGCCTCCCTGGACGTTGTCTTTTGTTCCTCTGGATGTGAAAAACTTTGGAAGGACACGAATGTCCTTCCACATTATTGTAATGTGATAATTTTATAACTATAGAATAGTTGTTAGAGGACATATTGAATAACACGCTTCGCCATCCTCTCGTATCGTTCGAAATTAAGATCAACTTCTTTTTAGGAAGTAACGTGTAATTTGTTTGTTCCATGTGAATCGCCGAGGAAAATACCACTTGTCATTAATTAATATATTGTCTTTAGTTTATTAATTATTAATTAATACTTATTAATTTTCTCGGATTCGTAGACGCAATAAAATTTTTCGAACATTTGGTGGACAGGATCTTTGCGGCCTGTATCAAATTATTATTATTATTATTATTAAATTTAACTCGATGATAAATTATATTCGATATAATGCGTTGCGATAGCTTATATATAATTCATCGAGTGTACGAATTTGTACGCAATAATCGATAAGCTATATTTTTATCCATAAACTTCTTCAAGTGTATTTTCTTTGATTCATGTTAGACCGATTAGATGAAATTGAAGAAATACACACAAGTATTTGATCTTCACTTATTTATGAGAAATAATTGTATAGATCGCAAAGCCTTAATAATGTTTATATTATAGCTGTGTCCTAAAATTCACTTCCAGTATCTAAAAAATTTAGGATTGGGAAAGTTATTTTACAAAAGGTACTTATTGACAAGTAACTTATAGTTTTCTTAATCTTGCACGTAATATTTTCTTGAATAGTATTAAGTAAACATTTCTTTACTGCAAATAAATATTTATTAAAAAAGAAGAAGAGTAATAAAATAAATGAATCAAATAATATATGTTCATGTTTAGTAAATATTTATTTGTAATAAGAAAAGTTTACTTACAAGGGACATCACCCAACTGTCTAGCACCGATTCTCCGTGAAGTATATTGTTAAACTATAAGTAAACTATAAATATTTTCAGCACTGACAGTGAATTTTGGAACATCGTTTACATGAAGCTTCCTATACAATTCATTTATTCCCGGTTCCTGTGCTTTTATCTCCGACGAGTCGATTGTCTTCTCTTCCGGGAGATCGAAAAAACACCGCTCTTATCTCGATCGGTCCTTTATATACTATTTTTTCCTTTCAACCGTTGGCAGTCGCGACGTCGAGCATGATTTGCGTATCTTAACAAACGAAAAACTCGAAGGTCGCGTATTAAAAGCGCGACAAGAAATACACATACGTCTTATCTCTATATAGTTATAGCGCGCGTTATTTCTGGTTCGCGACGATAAATGGGTGCACCTGCGCGAACACGATTAAAAACTGAAAGGCGAAGAGCTTTGTCGTGCCTGCTGACCCGGACATTTCCGTAGAAAACTGACCGCGAAGATATGACGGTCGATTGTTTGGCAGTTTTTTATTTGGGGGTCGATTGTGAATTTTGAAAGAAGGTAAAAATTACAAAAGTGAGCAAATTCACTAAAATATTTATGATTTCATTCATGATGTAAGAAGATCAGCTGTAACATTGCACATAATAACAGCTGAATTTAATTTGGAGCAAATTTCTGATTAATGACAAATTTCTAGTATATTGGCTTTATATTAGTTTTTAAAATTTAGGACCAATTTATGATTGGTTACAAATGCCGTCATTACTTTAAACGACTGCGCATCTTAGAAATTGGTTCACTTGATTTTATCATGATTTCATGAACTGCATTTAGCAGAAAAAGCAACTTTGCAATTGTTGTAAAATTCTTAACATGATTGATGTTGGCTCTTAGTTCTTCACTGGATCTAAATGTATAAACCACAGTCATGTTCAGAAAGAATCTTACAATAATTGCAAAGCTACTGAACGCTTGGTTTTTACATCTAGTAAATTTGTTCAAATTATAAAAGTCTTTGTGAATAAATCGAATTATTAGATAAAAGGAACATAAAATCCAACGCTGATTCTTTTTGCGAAAAATTATTCTATTACATAAGTATTAAAATATTATATGTAATACGTGTCACGAACAATATCACGCTGATAATGTCTGTTAAATACAAACATTTCGACCTCTATTATTAGGGTATCCTCAGTGTTTAGAATGTGTGCATGAAGAAACATTTAAAAAACATTTGTTCACTTTTGTAATTTTCATCTCGTTTCAAAATACACAATTGACTAAATTGACCCCCTAGATCGAGCCAGAATACGCGGCGCTGTGCGGCAATAATCCGCTGACAATTGTAATCGCGTAATTATGACAATTTCAACGTACTTGGGTTTATGCACTGCAAATAGACATTATCAGCGTGATATTGTTCGTGACACGTATTACATAATATCGAACAGTGTGTAGAGTCGGCTCTAAAGCCGGTCGCATTACCGACGTCGGCGGGGCACACTTAATAGCTTGTTCATCATATTTTCCCTATCTGCGTTACGTAAGATTTACACCAGATTGCTCGAATCAGGCTCGTTAACAACTGATTGATAAACCGAGAAACCTGCGCCACAGCCTTTTGCTGTAATTTATTTTTTCACGTATATAGAACGTTTCTAATGATTATAATGATTTAATTACACGCGTGTAATTTTTATGTTACGTTTGAACGATAAATATTCAAGAAAGACTTCTATTTATAATTTTAGATTTTCATAATTGCGTATGGAAAATCGGTATTGTAATACTTGTTAATAGACAGTTATGAAATAGGCAGTTTTGACAGTAATAACTAATAATGACAATATAGTATTTGAAATTTCAATATTAAAACATCATAACGTTAAGTACAAATATAAGTACATTTAGAAGAAAAGTCGCAAATAACGATATGAGTGTTATTCTTGATAGATGCATCATTTTGATATTTTAATTAAAGCTTATCGTCGGCTACGCGCGCTAATTACGGTCGAGACTGCGGAAAAAAGTGCAGCGTTCCGCGAAAGCTACGTTTAGAAATTATTGTTGCCGAACATATCTGTTCGATGCACAGATACGAAATTTTTAGACACATAATAAAATACATGTATTAATTTGAATTTTAAAGCTAATGATTATGAAATAATAAAACGTGAAATAATTTACTTAATAACTCATTTTAATTTTTTGACAGGTTACATATTTCTCTCAAAGTTGATGTGCTCCAAATACAATTATGATGTTATATACAAATTACACATTTATAAATTATTTATTATAGAATATTATACAATTAGGATAAATCTTTTTATCAAATACTGAGGAAGATTTGCTTGGCTGGCAAAACAACTGGCAGTTTAACCGGTTTAACGTGTGCAAAATTTGAACAATCTAATAATGAAAATATTTCACCTCTTACAATTAGATGTAATGATCGATGCTGAATATTTTAGTATCATGATTACATTATTTAATCTGATAATTTTGAATTTTATAACAAAAATTATCTTTTAATAAGTTTTATAATTATATTCAATAACTTTCTAATAATTTTTATAATTTAATAATTATCCTTTAACATCGCAAAAATTACAAGGCTAAAACTTTCGTTGATGTGAGATTTATTTCTCGTGTTCTACATATCCGAAAGAGACATTCCTTTTTGTGCTACAGACTCGCCGCAAAATCCTGTAATAAGATTTTTCCGCGCCATTGAGCATACAGCCCAACGTGTTTTGCAATTTTACGTTTGCGATCCGTGACGAGTGTCTGGAATCAATAAACTACAGGCTAACGGGTACAAAGTTACAGATATCGGGCCTACAATCCTATTTTTCTTACTCGTCCGTGAAATCTTTCGAAATATTTCGGAGTGCGAATTCCGTTCAGACATAAATCCGCAGAAACGACGCGCCGAGGACACAAGCGTTTATTCCCCGAGAATCGGGATGTTTTCTCTCTCCATGCAAGAACTTGCACCGCAAGTCGGATCTGCACTCTATAAACACTCGAAAGCGAAGGTCGATGTATTATTTCGACCATCATCGCGGCGAAAGACCAACGATACTCACGCTGGATAATATTTACGCCGATGGGTTCACCGTTAGAAGTCATAAATGAGAGAAATAAAAACCGCCAGATCCCGAGAAATATCGATCCCAATGACAACCTCGAGCATATCTTTGAGATTATGGAAGTGCTAAAAATATTTAACGAGCTTTTAGACGGTCCCAACAATCTGACGAGCTCTCACCCATATATTCACAGTTACATTCATATTCCATTAGGTATTCAATACACGGCTCATATATTCGGACTCCGATATAAAAATGTTTTTCCATTATTTAAATATAAAAAAACTTGGATATGTATGAAAATATTCGATAAGTAGTAATTGAAGAATCCCAACACAGCGAGTTATTTTATAATAATTTGAATATTATATTTCTATTGTATTATATTATATTAATGTCGAAACTGATTGATTTTATATGTATAAGAACATGAAAATTAAAAAAGAAGTCAAATAAATTCTCTAGAAATATCTCTCTAAAAAGATTGTAAAAAGATTAGGATTATTTAAAACTTATCAAATTTAATTTTTCTAGTTTCAGAATCTTTTTGTCATTTATTAATACCTATATGTAACTTTTTTAATTAATTTCCACTGTGAAAAAATTTTTGAAGTGAAGAAAAATGTAGATTTCCTTATTTTCCTGTATCGAATCCTCCAATTTTATATTGTCACGATTTTAATAATTTCAATAAATTCTCGAGGCGTAAAAAACTTTTGTTTTTAACATTTTCTCATGTTTACGTTGTTCCGATCGTAACTTTGCGTTAATCAAGAAATTAGTTAGTGTTTTATTAACATGTTACTTTTGGTTTTCGCTTTTTCAGAAAGAGTCGCCTTGGGACGTGGAGCTGCATCTGGCGGCGGCACGCGGGGACGCCAAGCGTCTTCGTGTTTTATTGAATTCCGGACGCGTCCACGTTGATTGCAAGGACAAGGTCAGTACCGTGCAATACCCTCAGTTTTCGAAGTAAGATCTCATTATCGTGGAAATTTCTCAGACACGAGTTTTCAAACGATTGGGAGAGCTTCGCGACAACTGATCATTAACTGTTCGTGAGAAATTGGAATGAAAAGAAAATTGGAAAAAAAAAATTTCGATTTACACACGAAAATGATAATACTAATCTGTTCCTTCCTGAAATACGATAATTGATTGGATCGGTTTTATCAGCTGAAATCGGTTTATTCAGTCGATTCATCAACTCAAGACAATAAGATCATCGCGTGAGATTGCTGTCGGAAATCGATTAGATAGGAACTCACGTTCCTGATTACAATAGTCTCGCGATAGATTAGCGATATCGCGGCAAAAGCGCGATTTGCCTGCTATTTTCTCTCCTTGCTGTCGACTCATTATGTAAATGACGAGGAGCGAGCAACACGAGTAATGTTACTCTTCTTTGCGCGTCTCGAAAGTGGTTTATTAGATCAGCACGGACACTAATCGTACCACTTTTCGACTTGGGAAGCTGAACACGTTTTATCGACATCTATATTTTTGCAAGCTCATCTACGTGAAATTGTGTCAGTGTCAGGGCCGAATCAAATCACCATACGTTTGTTTAGTCGACAAGGAAATTAATTAATAGTATTCCTGTCATTTGCGATTCTTTTCTATTAGAAATACCGATCAACATTTTGCGAAACTTTGTATTACTCATCGATATTTTTAGACATTGGGTGACACACACACACAAGTCGACACAAATGTCGTACTACCATTGTTACTCTCTAAATGTCAAGAAAAATAGAACGATGTTCGTGTCGACTTGTATTACTAAATGGAAAGCACCTATTGGTAATAATTTTATGCGCAAATCATTACTTTTTGACGAGACACTGTGACTATATGTATATATTTGTGTATGTATAGTTTTAAATATACAAAATAACTAAAATAAAAAATAACATGTAAGCGCGTTTTTTAATAAAAAGATTTGTATTATATCGATATATTATTTATGCAACGACTACCGCGCCTGACTCTTATTGCCCTGTTTTCTTCAAATTTCTTTTTAAAATAACTAAAGTTTATATTTTCCTTAATCGTTGTTTGTAAATTAGATTTCTAAATTATAAAAAGATAGTGTTCACATGTAAAAATGCATACATGTAAATTCTTTGCTCGGGACAGTGATCCATATGTGGCAAACTAGAATTAATACAAGTGTGCTAACTGCACTAGTGGTCTTTTAATCATTAGGACATTTAGCGCGAATCCTAATAGCTCTCGCAAGAAGATTGATTAGAAAATATACACCGGCATACATTCGCCGGCGTTTAGCGTTCACCGGCGGGAAAGTTTCGCGTCTAATTAAATCGTCGAAGCGAAGTTTTGCAAACGAGGTCGATTTTCTTTCAGGACGGCACGACACCTTTGATATTAGCCGCCGCTGGTGGCCACATCGACGCCGTGACCGAGCTGTTGCATCAAGGGGCGGATCCCAATGCCAAAAGGCTGGTAAGTCCTGACCCTGTGTCAAAGATCGAGTGTATCTGTGAATGAATGATAACCCCGTGGAATGAATGAAAGCCTAATGATAATAACAGAGACAACTCGTGCGCGCACACGTTAATTAATGGCTAAAAATCCTTAGTATACTACGATATTAGCGTATTAGGGGAAAGTGGGGGAACTGTGCGCATCCTGATTTGGTACTTTTCCAATGGATGACGACATCACTGTGAAATTTTTACGCAGGAGGTCGTCCTCTTAAGATGTAACTACAAAAGATACGACGTAAATACGTTGCTACCCAGAGAAATACAAAAAAGTGAAATCACATCTTTTCTTGTTATTTTAGCATTCAGAAAATAAGGTGATAAGTCCGTATTTTTAATTTGTTTGTTTAAAATTGCATACGTTATTAAAGTATGTTATTATGTACGTCTTTTGAGTTGCTATTTATTAAGTTTGGTTAAGAAATGTTGAAGTAATCGTATTTCATATCGAGTCAGATCGCGGCAGGCAATTGTGCGCAAGCGTTTTAAAATACGCACAATTACCCATCTTTCATATATCATATGACTAATTTTATCATAGCACTAATTTTTTCATTTTTTCTTTGCATCATCATTATTATATTTTGCTATTTTATTTTGCCAAAGTGTATGTGCGTTATTATTATATTAGTTTTGTATTTTTGCTTAATATATATAATTTAAAATGTATTTAATACATATTTAATATATATTTATATAGCAATATAATATATTTTCTGATTTCTTTGTCAACATTCCATAATTCATTCATTTCCTACGACTTTTGCTTTGCGCACTATTACCCGACGCGCGAGAAATTTTTTCGCTTTACCGTTTTTTCTTTTTACAACCTCCTAAATACAACCTTATTGAATGAAAATCTGTTTAATATAAGGATATATAATGATAGAAGAATATTTATAGTTTCTGTTTCCATATTTATATCGCTTTAAACTTGGAAAAACATTCCAGGACAATAAATTTCCCTTAGGTGCGCATAATTCACCCACTTTCCCCTACAAGACGCCAAATGAGAAGACAGCCTTTGCTTTTATTTATATTTATTGGAGAGAAGTACTGCTGACGTATATATGTACAAGAAATCAATTTGACATTTATTAATTTTTCAATTTTTACTTGCTCGCAAGGCGACTATAGATAAGAAAGTTATCGGACGATTTTTATCTCTATGTGTCATATAGTTTATCTCTTTATACTAATAACGAGCTCGTGTAAGGTGGTCATCGATAAGGTGGTCGTGAAGTTAGCTCTCCAACATAAAAAAGAATAAAGTTTCTATAGCTCATTCGATTGGTCATCGTTTGCACATGTATGCACATTTCGAATTTTCGTTTGCACACTTTTAGTTTAAAAGTTATTCAAAAAACAAATTTGGGGGGCCAACTTCACACTAGCCTCCCAACTTCGAGCAACTTGAATCAAAAAGATTTTAATCGAAATATTTTCGTTTGCACATTCCGAAACAAGTCGATTTTTCGTTTGCACATTTTTAGTTAAAAAGTTATTAACAATTAAAGTTCCACACGCGACAAAAAGTAAGTTTTCCGTTCGAATTCAACACAAACGAGCTTAAAATGACATCAATCGATAGGATTTCGTTTGCACATTTCAAAACAAATCGATTTTTTGTTTACACACCTTTAGTTAAGAAGTTATTAACAAATGAGTGTTGGAGGGCTAATTTCATACAACTTTTCGTTTCTATATTTATATTAAACACATTTTTATATCAATTTCTACGACGGCGTTGATGTGTATTAGTGCGCATTGAGTGCGTCCAATCGAATTCGCTATTACTTCGTGTACGCGAATTTATCATTATCTGCGAAAATATCATTGAGTAATGTAGCATGTAACTTAATTCTTTTTAATCGTCACAAAATATCGTTTATAATCGTAACCACGACCGTAAAACAATTGTAATGAAGTATGAATAATACATTGATTATATGCATATAATCGTTGTTTTATCTTTTTTTTCTATATGTATAACGTTACTACGTTTCTTTCGTTTAATTCTCAGAAAGAAGGTAGAAGTACGTATCATTATACGTCTTCAGAATTGTACGTTATTTTATTTATTCTCTTTTAGACACATTAACATTAATAGCTGTGGTAAAACCGGCATCGAGTATTACAGTCGTGAGATCATCTACCGATTGCAATTTAATCACCGCCGTAAAACAGATCTCAATTATTTAATTATGTTCGATTAAAGGATATGTAATAGAGTATGCGAAATGTATCGTAATAGTCACTTCGTAATAATAGTTTCAGGAAATTCTCCGATCAATCTTGAAATAATTTTCCCGCAACGACGTCATTATCTTCGTCATGATATTTCTTAAATATTTTATATATTCTGTTAACCGCAAGTTTTACGACATTAATAATTTATTAATGTAGAATTTGATAACCAACTAATTCTTACTTATATTTTTAGAATCTTAATTTGTAAAAGGCTCCATTTTTAACCCATTTTCAGTCATTTATATTTAAAAGTGTGTTTCTGAAAGAAAAATGAGCTCACATTTATCGGAGATTCCATAAAACGATTTCGACTTGGCGACCTTATTAAGGATCCTATCTTTAGATGCTTCGTTCCAAGTATTATGATATCTCGAAATAGAATTTTTGAAACTTCCTGGAGCATCGTCTTGCAACGTGTTTATCACTTTTAAAATGTGGCGTCTCAGCGAGACATAAAAAGCCCATCGTGTGGCATGTCACGTGGTGCACCAGGAAGCTGTCGGGCATCCCTTTTTTAAGTGCCTCAAGAGGATTTATCATCATGCCCACGCTTCCCTCTTTCTTCCTCGGTGTCTCGTGTCATCTAAAGTTGCGGCATTGTATGCAAATTGATGACAAGATTGCCAGAGTTGGATGAACTGATGTTCTGTTATATATCTCGAAAAATGAAAAAATAAAATTTGAAGAAAGTAAAAATCACGATGAAAAATTGATTTCTTTTAATATTAATACTATTAATACCTTTTTTAATTATTAATACTTTTTAAGATGCTTTATTAGCATCATTATTAAATTGACAATTAATCTAATTTGAGATTTAATGTTTGAGCTTCAGTTTGCGTTTCAAGTACGAATTGGCTCGCAGTTTATAAAATTGAAAAGTGTTGTAAGAATTTGAATATGAATATTTTAAAAGTCACAATTTCGATTTTTTCAATCTTACTTTTTATATAATAAAAAGATTGAACATATTTAAAAAAAATTTTTATTGGGGGGGGGGGGAAAATATATTTGAAATAATTACTAATTTTCTGACGGATATGATAACTATTAGAAACGTATAAGAAAAGGAGAGAAAGAATTACACGATGAGTAAACGTGCTCGGAAATAGGAATGTGTAACGTTCGACAATCGAGCTGATCATACAGTGCTCTTCCTCCAAGATTGAGCACAAATGATGATGGCGTCACGTTCGGCGCAAAATTACGCAAACCTTCATAAAGAACCCGTTAAACGTGTTCGTCATCTTACGCAATCATCGGCGGATTCAGGGTCATTTTCATGGACCGGAAAATACGATCCTCTTTAAATTAATACCTCAAGATCACGAGACCGTTACTTACGGGGATAATTGTATCTCATTTCGCTTTCCATATCAATTTATCGATTCGTGTAGCAATCGGCTAATAAATCCTCAAGCAACCGTGATTATGGCGTAAAGCGATAATTTTAAGGAGGGAAACTCGTATATTTCTCCTCAAATCTATTAGATAAGCCATGCCGATGGCATTTTAGCGCCGCATCGATTTTGAAATGGTGACCTGATGGAACATTTAACGACTTGAATAAATATCACGAGGTGAGAAACGAATTGCACGAGAGAAAAACGAGAAAGATGGGTACAATATTTCAAGGTTGCCTGGGCATACCGTGAGCTTGTGCCATAACGTTCGTGCGTGCAAGTTCGCGTGATTCTAATGTGCCTCTTAATAGCGGAGTGCCTGTGCAAAACACGCAACGATGGTAACGTGGAAGTTCAGAAATTATCGCTGACACTGTGTGTCTACAATCTATTTAAACGTGTTATTCATACTATCGTGAGTATCATCATATAGGTACGTAGGAAAATCGCACGTGGCATGACAGCCAGACGTTCATTTATAGAAACATTAGTAAATGTAGGATAATATATTAGATAATATTTTTTATTTCTTCTCTTTAGTTCGTGCTGAAAGGAAATGTGCTTTTATAATTTTTTTTATCTATTTATAAATAGATAGTAGAATTCATCAAGAAAGCATTGTTATATCAATTCAATATCAAGTATTATTATTTTTCAACTACAACTCATTAACCTAGATCTGTCATTTTTTCATAAACTCCGATATTAATTACAGTCTTGATTTTCATGAATGAGATATAACATATAAATTTTGAACGCGGGAATAAGAATTTAAAAGACGAGATTTTTCTCTCAATAGATAGTATCGTCTAAAAATTCTATCCGTGATTATCGATCGTCTAAAAATGGACAACGTCGACGAGGGTGAATGACACCTGTCGGGTCATCCCGACTCAGCCTCCGATAAATTAGATCTTAGGTAGTCTGCGACATTCTCGTCACAGAATGAACATTAATTGGAGTGACGTACAGCTTCAATTAAGTTTCAACGCGAATCGATCTCTTAATACAATATATACGCGAAAGTATCGCGCGTTTATTCATTGCTAATTATCATTCGACCATTTTTTCGGTTAGTTAATTAAAATCGACTCCGCGTGCGCTTGTCAAACTAAAATAAGTGACCTTTTGTTGTTCTACTTGGAACCGATGTTCAATCGGCGGGATTTGCATCCGTAAGTGTGGTACCGCTATGCACGTGACTGATCCAGACATCTCTGGATTACGATCAGATCTTCCATTCGTATCCTCAATTCAATTAACCTTCCTATCTCTCCATCGATCGATATTAAGATATTAAATTTTTACCGATATTTCGCAAACGTTTACATTATTCGTACGAAACTCACGGAAACGTAGATTTTACGATTAGGAAGACAAAAAAGATAAAAGAATTTTGCTCTCAATGCATATTTGTAAATTGTATTTCATTTATCGTTCGCAACACTCGAAGATTTTTTACGTCTATAGCGAAATAAGCAAATTTTTTCTGAAAAATGCCTCTATTTGGATTTAGTTTCGAGATCTGCTCAGATTTCTTCCTTGGTAATCTTTTATGAATACGTGTCAGGCATTTGATCTTGGACAGACCGGATTTCTACGTATTTCCTTATGTGCATGATCGCACCGAGAGCAAAGCGAAAGGATCGGCAGCAGTGCGGGCCATACATGACAGGTTGTCAGGTTGATCGTTACGTTATAGAATTTCTGCGGTTCGGTAATGGATACGTCTAAGTATTATGTCCCCGCTTCGTTCGCCACGCATCGTGAAACACATAACTCCATGGCGTGTGCATCGGCGACGGTCCGTTTCCACTGCAGAGAGATACGCCGCAAGTTGCAAAAAAGAGAATAAGGTTTGCCACGTGTTGCAAATGGGGAAGAAAAAAAAAAAGAAGAAAAAAGAAAGAGGAAGCAGAGCGATCGAAAACGGAAGCGTAAAGTTTCCGGTCTTTCTCGTCGTCTCTTTTCCCCGGAAGTAATATCGAAGGATTAATTTGCGTTATATCTTTCAAAGATATGATCGCGTCAAGGTGTGGAACGGCGGGATACATAACGGATAAAGCTACGAGTTCGCCGCTCCCTTGACTGGGAGCTTTTATGGCAGTGAAAGTGCATTTTACTTGTATCGGGTGAATTGCTCGGTTAGCGATGCTACACTATTAAATAATATCAAATTATATTCAATTTTATTTTTTAATCATTTTTTTTAGGTCACCACTGCTCTTACTCAATATACCGTTAATTTAACTAAAATAATGAAGTTAAATAATTTAACTCAAGAAAATTATTAAATTTGATTCGAATTTAATTTATTATAACTAAACTAAATTTAATTTAATAATTATTTTACTAAGTACATGCTTTAATGTAGACGTTGTTTATTTTGAAATTAACTACAGAAATGCATTGATTTACATTTTGACACACATAGAAGTAAAAAATAATAAAATTTTTAACTCGAGGGATTGCTTTTTTAATATGTAACACAGTGCAGTAAGGCTTTGTGTAGGAAGGAAAGTTTTAAAATAATTCACGCAATTGAAAAATTATAAGTTTTACAAAATATAAAACAATATTTTTATAATTAGGAATTAAATCGGGAATTAAATAAAATGAAGTATCAAGAATGAAAACGAACTATCCGTTGCGCGTAGTTTGTACCATTCTTTGTTTTAAAGATTTGGATAGTATTGGAACCTTTTATCTCATTATAATTTTTCAGGCGTGTCATTCTTGAAAAGACTTGCAAAGAGGTCTCTGAGAGAGAGAGAGAGAAGAAAGATTTTTATGTTCCACGCAACGAGGAATTTGAAAGTATAATTTGTAATATTATGGTAAATGTACTTTAAAAAATTCTGCAATCTCTTAAGTATTTGCGTTGTATGCATCATAAAGAGAATGATTCAATTTTCTTTCTTAAGTCGCGTTTCCTGGAAGCGTGTCGAGCGTCGCTGTATTTACTTCAAAGAGCACCATGCGAGTTTGGCAATTTACTAACGTTTCGTTCTAACCGTCTTCTCACTCCTAATTTGCCTTTTACGACTTTCCCGCGTCCGTTAGGATAGAAATCGCCCGACAGTCCAGGAAAATTTATTCCTGCATGAAAGCGTAACGCTGAATTCTAATTATCTCGTCGTAGCCTAAAGAGTCGTATCTCGTAACTAATGGCCAGAAACTACGATCGACAAAAGTTTCGGAAATTTACGCGATTCAAGCACGACACGTGTTCTGGATAGTGGATAGTCGCGGCTTAATGCGAGATATTATCTTAATCAGGTGAAGGACATGTACGTTGTATTGTAAAATACGGCGTTATGTCGCTAGAAATCGATAGTTTGCGGCTGCCAAGTTTCAGTACTAACGATGACTTTATATATTAATAATATCTAAAGAACATCAATAAGATAATATTTTACAATGATACTGGATTGAAAATAGCCGGTTGGGACTATGAAAAAAAATTATACTTTTAGTAGATTTTATATAAATGTTTTAATAAATGTTTTTTAATAAAAATTTTTAATAAAGGAATTAATTAACGTCAGATTAATTGTAATATTTTAATAATTTTGATATGTGACGACATTTGTGTTGAATAGGAAAAATAAATAGGAAAATTCTTAAATCGTGTATTTCAGAATAATAATTTCTCATTTCTCGATCTCTTTCGCCAGAAGAGATTCGATTTGACATTTGCTCGAAATATCAAGGCCGCTCCGCGCGACCGGTTCTCGCCGCTAAAGTTTACCGTTAAGCATGACATATCGTAGCTCCTCGTGTTATATAAAGAGATATACGTATACAGGTGCAAACGATGGAAGAAAGTTGGGCGTATTTCTAAGTGAACCGTACAGAGAAGTTTGTATTCGAATGCCTGTCGCACTCCGAAGGAAATCGACGTTTCTCTTTCACATCGGCCAATAAAATGCCATTCGATATTATTATTAATGACGCAGTCGACGCAATTGCCGACTATATACGTCCGCATGTTACGTCGGTTTATCGTGGATATAAATTATAGGTGGGTCGCGGGACGTATGTGACATTTGCATATCGTTAAGTGGCAACTGACGTCACGCCAAATTTTCTGTGCATTTCTAACGAACGTACTGTTACACCGTGTACCTTGCGTGATGAAATTATTACATGCGGATAAATATCAAATTCGAAATGTTGCGAAAAAATAACCCGAAAAAATCGCTTCGTCCTTTTTATTAGAAACCATGAAACACTATTGATCACACACATTTTTTTAAATTCTATTTTTAATTTCATAAATCTTCTATTTCATTAGAATTTGTTTTTTAAATAATGCAGACATTTACATTTGATGTTTAAATTATTTAGGCAGACAGATGCAGAGAGAAGTTGGGTTTTCTCTTCTCAGAAATAAAATATGTATCTATTCTCGCCTTCTTTCATCGTCTCACAGTACTTATCTCTGCGTTCTGTATAGAAACTGTTACATTTTGCACATCGCGAGGAGTTTTCGGCCTCGTGATATTTTACTTTAAACTTTGTGGATGTTCGGGATGATCCGCTTAGATCCGCTCGAGCGTCTCGATTTTCAAAAGAGAAAGAATATTTCTCAAACAATAAATTAGTTATTTAACACTTATACGAATGAAAAATGTTATTCAGTCTAATAATATTTTTTGTAAATTTATATAATTTCGAGCTTCTAGTTCTAATGTTATTGTCATTTTGATGAAAAATAACGTTAATCTACTTGGGTCAGAACATTTATTTTTTTGAGAATATAAAACTATAATAAATGAATAAAGCTATCAAAAGAATTTTATCCATTTTATCAATATCCATTTTATTAATTACGTGAACTCTATAAAAATTTATGTAGACTATTGTAGACGCATCTAATTGTATTTCTTGAAAAAACAGTTTATTCCAAAAAATATTTAAGATGTTCGAAATAAGAATCAGTTGCATATATTGCAGTCGTCCAAGGTGGTACATGATCGTACACATGCGATAATGTTTGCATTTGTCTTGCGTTCACAGACCGGGACAACGGCTTTGTTCTTTGCCGCCCAGGGCGGATACATGGACATCGCGAGTCTGCTTTTGGAGCACGGCGCGATCGTGGATTCGTGCAGCATAGTAAGTAGAGAGGCGGAGAAGATCTTAGCGCGTGTGCGTAACTCGATCTCGCAGCTCTTTAACTCTAATGTGACCCACGTGGATTTCAGGACGGCGGCACGCCGCTCTTCGTCGCATGTCAGTACGGTCATCTGGACGTTGTGGAGGGTTTAATAGAGAGAGGCGCCAGTCCGAACGCTCATATGAAGGTAAGGAAGTGCATTTAAAATGCCGGCTTCAATAAGCTCGCCAATTATAATTTTCAGACCAGTATTCATTTGTTCTTATCTCAAAATCGTCTTAAGTAATGCCTAAAGAAGCTAATATAGTTCTGTGATTAATTTCATATCTTAAGGCATTACTTAAGACGTTAAATATAATAAGAACAATTTACGAATACTACACTGAAAAAAAAGATTGGCTGAAAAATACTATGCCATGTTTTACCATCTAATTTGCTGCAGCAGCCAATCTTTTTTTCAGTGTAGTCTCAGTGTATCTGACTAAAGAAGTTTTACGTATAATAAGGTAAAAGTCCTAGTGACCAGACATGTACCTCTATGTTCGGACATTCACACAATACTTTATTTATATTAATCTCAAATGTTTTTTCAAAAATATAGTATTCTAATTTAATTGTAATCTTTAAATATAATTAAATTATATTAATTGTAATAAAAAAAGCATTTGAGATTAATAATAATAAATTTTGTGTAAGTGTCCGGAAAATTACGGAAAATCGACTTTATGAATAATACCAAGATTTCTTAATTTAATTACTTCATTAAACATAAATCTTCAATTTATGAAAATTAAGTCATTACCAAAATAATCAACACGCTTCAGTCAGAAGAGACGTTTACTCAATGTATTTGGTAATAATGCGATATTAATATGTGAGAAAAAATTGAAAAAAGAAATGATTTCTAGGACGGTGCCACGGCGTTGTTCATCGCTGCCCAGAACGGCCACCTTCGTATACTGGAAGTCCTCCTGGAGCACGGGGCGAAGACGGACGCGGTAAGAACGGACGGCGCTACACCGCTGTGGATCGCATCGCAAATGGGACACGATCACATCGTCAGGAGGCTGTTGAGAGCCGGCGCGAAGGTCGACGCCACGAGACACGTAAGTCTCACGTAGATCGCGTGTCGTATAATCGCCGAAAGTCAGCTCTCGCTATTGTGCCATACACACAGCTTGTCATCGCGAACAATTTCCTTTCGCAGGACGGCGCAACTCCACTTTTCAAAGCCGCCCACAAGGGTCACACCGCCGTCATCGGCGAGTTGCTCAAGTACCGTCCTTCACTCGGCATACTTCCGGTAAGAGTCAGAGAAAAATCAATGAGTTTTAAACGCTCCAAAAACATTCGTGTATAATTTTAAAAATTGTACAAGTAAAATTCCTACGTGAGTCTCCGCGGATTTTAGTGCATTAATTATTATAATTTATAACGCGCGATGGATATAATTCGCAATCAATTGGGTTTTACTTACCAAACGAAGTTAACTCTCCGTGAACTAGATGGGGTGTGACATACCCCAGCAAGAATTTCTATAACTTCTTAACAAGAACCTATGTGTTGCCGATTTCGTGCAACTGGAGAGTGCGTTGTTACCAATCACACTAAATTATAGTATATTTATAATGAGAAGTATAGCATGAGATATGAGATATATCCACATTTGATCCATGTTGATTTTCCACCTGGTTCACGGAGGGTTAAAACAAACGTAAACGTTTTGACTCTAGATTTGGTCCTCTTCAGTACGGAAGTCTGGAACAAACTACTGGTACAATAAAGCCGGTGTATTTGACTCTCGCACTGAAGAAACTTCAATTTGCGTTTACTTTAACTTCGTTTAGTAAGTAAATCCTAATTAGTTACGAATTATATTTATCACATTATGAATATATAATTTAAACGTGCCAACATCTGCGGAGGTATTTTATTTATCTTAGACTTATTCTTGGAGTCAACAAATATTACCATTTTATTTTATTTCAATTTAGTTTTATTTCAATTTTAAATTAATTTTAATCTATAACTATACAGGGTGTTTCCAAATTAAATGGCAAAACTTCGGGAGCGTGTAGAGGAGTAAAAAACTAAGAAAAAAAGTCC